GGAGGAAGAGGAGCGGGGTACAGCGATGTCCTGCTGGATTATGTTTGGGGAAAACAGCAGCAGCTGCAGAGACAGCATTCTCAGCCCCACAGACAGCCAATCACATCGCAGCAGCAGGTAGTCTACAATGGCTACTCCAAGCAGCCATCAGGAGCCCCGCCCACCTACCGCGGCCCCCAAGGCGACCAGCGGCGGGTCACGGTAACCCGAACCAAATCGTGCGGTCCGTTCCTCCCGGTGCAGCAGAGCCAGACTGATACCCACAATCCCCCTCTGGTCGCCATTCAGCCCGACCCCCACCCCCACCTGCTGCCGCCCCGACCCCCTCAGCTGCCCCCCAACCAGGACTCCCAACTGGAGGAGGCCACCAGGAGCCTCCACAAGGCCCTCGCCCTGGAAGGTGAGTATCGTTACCCTGTAGCTGCTCCGCACTTCCTTTACGGAGGCTTTGGAGCTCGTTAGCTTCCAGCTCAGCCTCTCTCAGCTCCTGATGTTTGCTGATCTGTGAAGCTCAAACGTGTTGAATCTTTCATGGGATGGAGATAAAACTGGGTCAGTGCAGCAGAAACTGTCTGCTGGTGTACTGCAGTGAGGAGGTGATGCCACCTGGTGGAAGTCAGACAGAATAACACAAATATGTTTGCTTCATCCATTCATTGCTTACCCACGCTTGCATCTCGGGGAAATCGTCTAAGCAGAGAAGCCAAGACTTCTCTAGACCTCACGTGATTCTGCAGCATGTCCTGGGTTTGCCCCAGGGTCTCCTCCTGGGAAGACTCACCTAGGAGGCGTCCAGAAGGCATCCTCTTCATCCTGAGCCACCGAGCAGGCTCTCAATCCCTCTGTCGGTCTCACGATCCACTCTCCCTTCACTTATAAACGAGATCCCAAGATATTTAAACTCTTCCACTTGGGGCAGCAACTCATCCTGGACTCTGAGAGGGTACTCCATAGTTGGAGGTGCTAATTCTATTCCCACTCTTTCCCACTTGGCCGTGGACTGCCTCAGTGTAAACTGGAGGTCACCGCCTGTTGTTTGTTTCATTACTTAATTTATCTGCACTGCATTAGGTCAACTTTATTGTCTGTTATCAAGTCTCAGGCGCACTACCGTAGAGTTTAAATAGAAGGGTAAACGGCGCTCACTCCTTCTGTGACCTCATTTCTAGTTTCACTTCTTGTTTAATGCAACCTGACGTTCATTTGTTGAGTTATAGTCCCCAGTAGATAAAACGGGGTTTGTGTATTCAGACAGATAAGTTGTTACCACACGAGCGTGTGGTGACACATAATGAGGCAGGTGGTTTAAAAACACCAAAAGAATCAGAGTGAAACCTCAACCCGTTCATGAAGCTTAGCTAACAGTGAGTGATCGGTTAGCTAAGTGACTTCCTCTATTTTAAAAAAAATGTGTAATCTAAGGTTCAGTACACGTAACAGTGCAACAGACCACTGTGGTTTGATGTGGGTGTCATTAACAACTGTGGTTATACTGGGAGTCTTTAAACCATATCTTCTACCTGGACACAGTCAAAGTCTGCAGGAGATTCAAAGGTTGGACTGAACCTGACGATTAAAGACAGTCAGCTCCACAGCGTGAAACTTGCTCTGAGTGTGGTGATGGGAGACGTTTCCATGGAGCAGAAACTGTGATGAGCTGTTGATGTGTGATTGGCAGGTCTGAGGGACTGGTACCTAAGGAACACCTTAGGCTCCTCCCACCAGAACCAGGCCAATGGAAAGGTGACCGCAGGGACCAACGGCAGTAAGATGAATGGAGGGGTCAAAGGTCAGGCGGGAGGAGGCGGGGCTCTGCAGCGGAGACGGACGACACACGGTGTCATTCAGCAGTCGGCCTATCAGACGGAGACGAATCATCATCAGCACGCTGCGCCGCATCACAAACACACGCTGCCGCATTCAGCCACGTTCCACGGACACCCGCTGCACGGCAGGTATGGGTCAGATGACCACGCCCCCCTTTATACTCAGAAGTTTGTTACATAGTTTAAGACGCAAATGTGTCCGGACTAAAAGTAGATTAAAATCATAAAAACCTGCTAAAATCTCCTTTTTTTGAAGGACGCTTTTTCTTCACTTCTAGTCTTTGCTTTGAAAGCCGGAGCGTCCGACTCGTCTTTGATCACAGCAGGCTCTTTATTCCAGACACGGCAGCAAAAACTTGCTTAGATCTTCCAACATGATTATCCTCAAGCTCGATGATGGTAATCAGTGTAAATTAGTCCAAACGTATTCAGCAGAGAGCGCTTCTCCTCAGCTTTGAGCCTTGAAGCCTCCTCGTTACAGATCCGCTCCAACCTGCTGGTCACTGCGGTCGGTCCGAACCCTGAAGAACTCTTATCCTCTGTTCAGCAGTAATGTTTGTTTTGAAGCTGCAAGAGCGATATTTAAAATGAGAACAAATGTTAAAGCACCTAAAAGGTCAAATAATGTCAGTGCAAGTGAGGCGACGTTTAGGAAGACTTTCTGCTGTGTGGGTAAATATCCATTTCTGTCCTTCCTACAGGTCTGTGGATGGCTCGCTCTACCACGACTCGTTCCCTGCTCAGAAACAGGAAGTCCCTCTCAGAGATCCGCCGATGGACCAACCGTCTCCTGGGACTCTGGTCTGACTCAGCAACCAATCACGATGCTGAGAGGCAGGCAAAGGGACTAATTCCAGGCTGGCTTCCTGGGATGAGCAGTATGAAGGAATG